ACAGACATTTCCTCAAATGTTTACTGCCTGAATGTCTTCCTTGGTGAAGTGTCTGTTCATGTACAATACAAGTGTCTTTTGTCAATTTGTTTTTTTAGTTATTTCAGTATGTACATCAAGATGTAGGAGTCCTGGTGTGGCACTGTAAGACAGCACACTGAGATCAAAAGGTCAGTTTGAACCACAAGGTGGGCAGTTCAAACTCACCAGCCACTCCTCAGAAACCCTATAAGGGTCGCTAGGACTTAAAACTGACTCAATGGCACTTAACAACAACAAAATCACATCCAACACACTGAGAAAACAATGTACTAACCTGTAACAGTTCATGACTCAGAAATAGCTGCCTTCAGCCTCAAACCAACTCTAATAGATATGCTTCCACTTAATTTGAATGTAGTTAAAATGTACAGAAAATGATCTCTTCAAAGACCAAACCACAAAGTATTTTTATTTGCTCTAATTTAGCACAAGAGTCCTGGTATGGTGCTATAGGATAAGCACTCAACCTCAAAGTTGGTTCAAACTCACCAGCCTCTCCTCAGAAACTCTATATATGGTTGCTATGAGTTGGAACCAACTCGACAACACTTAACAAAAACCTGGGAGTGATATCACCTGTAATCAAATGATACCACAAAACTCTCTGAAGGAGAACAAACAAGATGGTGAATTGGGTGAGAGTACAGTGAGGAGCTCCGTCAGCCACAACACAGAATACCAGACCAAGCAGGCTCAGGGGATGGTCCCAGAACTCTAAACCACATATAAAGGAATAGTTAGAAAGCTGAAATGCCTACACCAGTGGAACTTGTAGCAGAAGAAAGAAATCCAGTGCTTTCTAATCCAAGGCACTCAGCTGCTCCCTGAGCTACCATCTTGGACAAGACCAAAACAGGGAAGGATCAGAGAGCAGCCACAGATACCTGACAGAACCACAGAGATAAAAGTGTGGACATTATTTTTTTCATATTTGTTTATTGGCCCCCCGCTGTCTGAAAACCTCCATTCTGGTGATAAGAGGGGGTGCCTGAGCAAGTGGACACCCCACTCCCAACCCCGGAGGGTTCTGTTACACACGTGCACAGAACTCCTCAAAATTTAAAGGGACAGTTTCCACTTAAAATCAAACGGCACCGCAAAATGGCCACAGCCAGTCCTGAACGGTTTATCACTAGGAAAAAGGCCTGAATGGGGATTGTGGAGCAAGACAGGCAGACTAAAAAGGAAACAGGCTAAAAATTAAATCCTGAGTTACGTCATAATGACCAACAGTGGCATCTTGAAAATTCTCAGTAAGAAGAGTGAAAAGGGAAGCCCATCTCCTGATCACATCCTACCTGAAGGCAATCAGAAAACATAAAAAATACCAAAACACACACCCATCTAAGTTTTAAGGACACAGAAAACTCCTGAATATGCCCAAAAAACAGAAACTGATGACCATTATCAGCACATGTCCAGACAAGATAAAGTGACTGAGACAAATGAGCTGGAGGTAGACCTACACTCCATACTGGAAGGAGAGCAGGCTTTGGAAATGCCTGAGAAGGAATTCAGAAAAATGATTATAAAATGTATCAACATACAATGGAATTGAGAAAAATAAGGAAGAAGTCAGGAAAGTGCTACAGGAACAATCAAATAATTAGATACAACATTGGAAACAATTCAAAACCTACAGAAAGAGGTCCAAACGATTAATAATAGAACATCAGAAATGGACAACACACTGAAAGGGCAAAGGAGTAGAACTGACGAGGTGGAAGCCAGAACTAGTGAGATGGAAGATAAATCTCTCAATATCAGTAAGACAGAAGAACAAACAGAAAAAAGAATTTAAAAAATCTGAAGAAGGTCTAAGATTCATGTTGGAGAACATGAAGAGGAATAACTTAAGAATTATTGGCATTCCGGAACAGGAAGAATCACACAAGTCCACAGAGGAGATAGTTGAAAAACTTCTGGAAGAAAATTTCCCTAACATCCTGAAAAGCGAAAAAGATAAGCATCCAAGAAGTTCAACGAACTCCAAGAATGACAGACCCTAAAAGAAAAACAACGAGACATATAATAATCAAGCTCTCCAAACTCAAAGATAAGGACAGAATCCTGAAGGTAGCTAGGGAAAACAGAAGTGTAACATACAAAGGCCAGCCAATCAGAGTAAGCTCGGCTCTCTCAACAGAAACCATGTAGGCAAGAAGGCAATGGCTAGACATATATAAAACCCTGAAAGAAAAAAATTTCCGACCAAGAATCCTCTAGCCAGCAAAGCTGTCAATCAAATATGATGGTGTAATCAAAACATTCCAGGATAAACAAGAGCTAAGGGATTTTGCCAAAACCAACCCCACAATGAAAAACATCTTAAAGGGGGAGTTCTGTGGACAGAGACACAACAATCAGAGATTGCCATACATGGCAACATCACCCGGAAGTCAATCAACAAATGGAAGAGTCGAGGACAGAATAAAAGTATAAGAACAAATTCAGAGGATCTGGGAGGTCAGTCTATGATCAAAACAAATACAATGTGAAAGAAGGTAAACAGATATCTAGGTGATGGGAAGGTCAGGTAGATTACAGGATAAAACAGACTGTCTTAAATGGAGGGAAAAGTTAATGGAATATAAGGTAAGCACAACGGTGGGGTTGGGGTGTGGTGTTTCGGGGGAAGTGGAGGGAGGTGGAGGGAGGAAATGGTATGGCAAAGGGTAAAGGCAGACACAGCATAGTTCAGGTGTTGGGGAGGGCAATATAAGAAGGGCGAGGAGGTGGAATAACAAGGTAGATAGGGGAACATTGAGACAGGTTTGCATGGGCTAAGTGGGACAGAGGTAAATAGTGATGCATGCTTAACCTTGGAACAACAGGGCTCTGTGATACAGGGATCTAGGAATAATTTGAAGAGGGGAAATAATAGTAAGATGCTTGACTGTCTTATGAATATTGGTTTCCCTTGCCTACTATTGTAAAATAGACACTAGAGTGGGATAGAAGGGAATGTTGGGAAACATGATCACAGAAAACTTACAAGCCTGTCTTCAGCCTATAACTGACTGGAATACTAAAAGGGGTTCTAGAACTTGCCCAGTGAAACAGGCCTCTTGCAGAACCTTTGCAGAGTATATAGGTCCTGAGTTCCATTCAGAACCTTCTGAGGTAGGACATTCTCTAGAAAGGACAAGCAGACCAGCCTGGGACAGCTAGAGCAACAGAAGACACATCTTCAAAGAAAGATCAGAGGGGAAAAAAACAAAACAAAAATGGCATCGGGGAGCCATCAAGGCAAGCAATCAAGTTCCTTCAGGACAAACTCCCCTCTAAGACTGAAACTCAAAGGGAACACATGAGCAGGTATGTAAGCATGCTGGCGACCATATTTATCTACTGGTGAGTGAAAGAAGGGGAAAGTCAGCAATGAAAAAATGGGCTGAGTTCAACCATGGTGCATTGACTCCCGTTGACCTGGAGATGAGGGAGAGAAGAGGAAGGGCTGGTTGGTCCAATGTGTGGTGACACCTGGGGACACCAGAGCCCATGGCCAAGGACATAGCCATGGAGAGCTAGAGCTGAGAGTGAAGTGAGGGGAGAGGCACAAGAACACTCAAACTTGCAGAGAGTACCCATTTGACCTAGGCTCAGTTGCTTGATAATTAGAATTCAACTAGAAGAAGGGTAAAAAACAAAAAATAAAAAAAACCAATTTTTGATAAAGGAAACAAGGGTAAATTGTTTAAAGGCAGTAACTCTAAATACCAACAGAGAGGGAAGGAGTCATCACATCAAGTATCAATGCTATCTCCTCTGTACACAGGGTAGATAGGGATGGGCAACTTAGACATTGGCTAGCTAAAATGAGGGGGTGATAAAGGCAAGAAATGACTGGCTTACAAGGTTTCAAGAGGGAGTTTAATTTAAGAGTGTGTGTGGGGAAAGAGTCCTCACTGAACAGTTGTCATCTTGTCTAGACGGGTCTGGTTAAAAGAAATGGGGATAAGAGTATGATTCAGTAGTAATTGTTATCAAGACTAACTGCGACTGTCACAATTGTAAAGGTAGAAGTTTCGTTAAAAAAATGGGGGAGCAGTTAATCTTACAGTCCAGAAACAGAGGACCCTAGGACCATCAAGGAAGAAGAGCACAAGCGTAATACAGGAACTTATCCAGAGAAGCAACACCAGAAATGGAGGTAGAGCTGGGAACATGGGGACAGGGAGTGGCTGAGGACACTAGTTTCATGGGAAGAGAGGGACTAAGAGATTCTGGCCATGAGATAGACTTGCAGAATGTGCCCTTTGGTGGTGTAAATTATTATATATGCCTGTGTGTGTTTTGTTTTTTTGTTTTTTTTTAAAAAAAAGAGCTAAAGTGAATAGAGAGAAATACTGTTAACTGATGGTACACGGAGAATATAATCATTGTGATGAAAGAAGTTGTATGATTTGTTGAATATAAAACTGATGATCTGCCCTGTTAACTTTCACTCAATCCATAATAAAAACATAAAGAAAAACAAAAACAAAACAACTCTCTGGAAAGTTTCTAATCAGCAACAGATGGTTCAATTAGCTCAACTATCTGATATTAACTAGATTCTAGGAAAAGTTCAGACTTTTTCCAGTCCTATATAGCGTTCCTGTAGGTTATGACCTGTTTCTCAAAGACTGATTTTTTGAAGTGGTGGTGGTAGTTGTGTGCCACGGAGTTGATTCCAACTCATAATGACCCTATCTAGGGTTTCCAAGGCTATAAAGTTTTAAGGGAGCAGAAAATCTCTTCTTTCTCACACAGAGCAATGATAAATTCAAACGACTGACCTTGCAGTTAGCAGCCCAACTTGTAATCCACTAAACTACCAGAGCACCTTAACTTTTCAAAGTAGTTAGCTAAAAATTCATAGTCATCACAGGTGGGGCGGGGGTTGTGGAGAGTGGGGAGGGAACAAAACACTTACCTACTGGAAATTTCAAGATAAAATGTTTTTGAAAACTTACTTTCATATTTATCTTTTCCCATGTAAATGGTATAAGTAGAGGAATTATCTATGACAGAGGAAAAAAAAAAAAAAAGGCAATTATATAAATTAATCACCAACACAAACTATTTCCTACGAAAAACAAGTAATGTTTAGATCAAACATTAAAAACCAGCCCTACCGCCACCAAGTCAATTCCGACTCATAGTAAACCTATATAGGGTTTCCAAGGCTGTAAATCTTTACAGAAGCAGAAAGTCTCCCCTTTCTCCCTCAGAGCAGCTGGTGGATGTGAACTGCTGATTTTGCACAATTAGCAAATTATGGCCCATGGGACAAAGTCAGCCCTGGTTTTGTACCACCATTAAGCTGTTCTTACATTTTCAAAGGTGACATTTTAAAAGAGGGAAGAATAAGCCTTAGAGACTGTATATGGCTCACAAGGCCAAAAATGTTTATTATCTGACCCTTTACAGAAAAATCTGATGACTCATAAATGGCTACTTTCCTACTTTCTCAGAGATAATGTTGTTGTCAAGTCCTGTCAAGTCAGTTCCAACTCGTAATAACCTTGCATAGGGTTTCTGAGGCTGTAAATCTTAGTGGAAACAAAGCCTCATCGGTCTCCTATGGAGGAGCCGGTGGGCTTGAACCGTCAACCTTGCAGTTTGCAGTCCAGTATTTATTGTACAGAGCCACCACACTCCATCTCAGGAATATAGTTCAATGTAATTTTCAGTTCAGTTCTATAATTTTGCCTTCCTCAAGAGAGCTAAGAGAAAATACAAAATACCTATAAACTTTGGTGGTGTGCTGTGGAGTCGGTTCCAACTCATAGTGACCTTGTATAGGGTTTCCGAGGCTACAGATCTTTATGGGAGCAGAAAGCCTCATCTTTCTCCCACAGAACATCTGGTAGTTTCGAACTGCTGACCTTGAGGTTACAGCCCGACTCTTAACCACTATGTTACCAGAGCTCCTTCCTATAAACCTTAGTACTTAAAAATAGGTCAGTGGTGGTTCAAACCTACCAACTGCTCTGCAAGAGAAAGATGAGGTTGTCTGCTCCTATAGAGACTGGTGTTGCTGTTAAGTGCCATCGACAATTCTACTCTGTCCTACAGGGTTGATATGAATTGGACGAGGTGACAGTGGCTGAGTTTATGAGGCAGTGGGTTTTAATATGGGCATCCTCAACCTGGAATCAAACAAAAAGCTTCGTTTCCTACTGAAATTACAGCTGGTTGCTATAATAGAGCTGGTTTTCAAGTTAGTCTGCCAAACGTGTTTGAGCCTGACAGAATGGTGGAGGGTTGGGTGAGACAGTCTGTCAGCTATAGCTCCAGAGCACAGAACTAGGCCTGTGGATAGAGCTCTGAAGGCCAGGGAGCAGCACTCTTTCATATACAAAGCTCATTCTGAACTTAGGGATTCCTGCCCTTTCAGTATTGAAAAGCTCCTTAAATTATCAGTCCTATTTGCTTCTCTCAGATAGGAAAAATCTCTAATTCCTTCCACGACTTCGGTCAGTTACAGTGACTGCAATCACCAAACTCATTCTCCAGAGGAAGCCCTGATAGTGCAGCAGCACAAGATTGCTAACAGAAAGGTTGGAGGTTCAAGCCCAAGGGAGAAAGATGTGGCGGTCAGTTTCTGTAAAGATGACAGCCTTTGAGACCCTAGAGGCAGTTCTACTCTGTCCTAAAGGGTCACTATGATCTGGAAGCGACTTGACCATAATGTGTGTGGGTACAGGAACTTGATCTACCACCCACTGCTATCAAGTCGATTCTAACTCACAGCGACCCTATGAAGGGTTTTTGAGGCTGAAAGTACCCCCTTTCTCTCTGAGGAGCAGCTGGTGGGTTCGAACTACTGACCTTGCAGTTAGAAGCCCAATGCATAACCCACTATGCCACCAGGGCTCCTTAGAAGAGTTTGATAAGACCTTAGCATGTCATATAACAAATGACAGAAACGTGGGAATAAAGCTGAAATGTGTTTAAGATTCGCTCTGCACAGTCTGAAAGTAATTTAAGCATCCTACTATATCACCACTAGGAGTAAGGTGGTGGTGGTGGTATGCCGTGGAGTCAGTTCCAACTCATAGCCACCCTGTATAGGGTTTCTGAGATAACAAATCTTTACGGGAGCAGAAAGCCTCATCTTTCTCCCGCATAACGGCTGGTAGCACAGAAAGACTAAATCAGTGATGCCCTTCTCTACCTAAGCACCCATTAACAAGACTGGTTAAATAAACTGTACCACACCAGCTGCCGTCCAGTCTACTCTGACTCATGGCAACCCCACAACTGTCCAAATAGAACTATGCTCCATGAGATTTTCAATGGCTGATTTTCTGGAAATTGACCACCAGGTCTTTCTTCTGAGGCATATTTAAATGGACTCAAATCTATAACCTTTAGGTTAGCAGCTGAGTTGCACTAATCCATCCATAAACAAAACAGCACACACCCATTAAAAGCAGTATGCATTAAAAAGTGTTAAACTAAGTAACAACAGTATTTGTGTGTTTCTATGTAAAGTTCAACCTATAAATAAATACCCCGAGGGGGGCTTCAAAAAGTTACTGAAAAAAATTAATTATCTCTCAATTCCACTTTTATACAAACTTTTTGAAGCGCCCCTCCCCATACAAGCAAACATGTATGAATATACAGATGCAGAGGTGTTTCTGTAGGCAAAAGTATAGATTTGTATGTGTGCATAGATATAGATAAGGAGCTCTGGTAGCAGAGTGGTTATGAATGGGGCTGCTAATCTCACAGTCTGCAGTTGGAATCTACCAGCTTTCTGTGGGGGAAAAAGATGAGGCTTTCTGCTCCCATTAAGATTTACAGCCCCGGAAACCCTGTACACTGTCGCTATGAGTCAGAACCAACTCCACGGCACATCATCACCACCACCACCATAGATATAGATATATAGAAAAGAGTCCTGGTATGACACTGTAGGATAAGCATTGATCTACTAATCAAAAGGCTGGCAGTTCATACCCACCAGCTGCTACTTGGAAACCCTAAACAGGATGGCCAAGATTTAGAACCGACTTTACAGTATTTAACAACAACGTGTGTGTGTGTACAATAAAACACATAGGGGCACCGTATGGATCCTTCATAAACAAACACTTTAACAATAATTATGAACAGGACACTATGCTAGGGAAACAAAGAGCTCCTTATCCTCACCCTCAGAGGGCTTACACTCTAGCACAAGGAGGCACAGAGCAATACCAAGGGACAGGTGTAATGCTAAATGTTGTTAAGTGCCATCAAGTCAGTTCCGACTCAAAGTTTAAAAGGTTTCCAAGGAACAGATGGTGTGTTTGAACGATCAACCTTGTGGTTAGCAGTCCACAGCGCCACACCATGTATGCTAAACTATTCATAGGATATTAAAGGAGTCCCAGAAGAGGTATATCTAAGCAATCTGGGGATGGTATTAGTTAAGACATGATGGGAAACAATAAGCCAGGGCTGTTAGGAGTTAACTTGGAGTTAATTTTAGGTGAAAGGAAGAGCATGAGCAATGAAACGAAGGTGAGAACTAAACCTTTCATGTAACTAAAAGTATCCAATTTTCGTCTGTGGCGCTGTGGGCTAATGCGTCAGACTGCAAAGTCACTTGAACTGCAAGGTTGGTGGTTCAAGCTCACCAACTGCCCGTTTGAAACATTATAAAGAGTCGCTATGAGTCAGAATTGACTCAACAGCACTTAACAACAACAACAACAAAGGAAACCCCAGGAGTTCTGGTGTGGCGCTGTGGGCTAATGCGTCAGACTGCAAAGCCGTTTGAACTGCAATGTTGGCGGTTCAAGCTCACCAGCTGCTCCCTGGAAACCCTATACAGGGTCGCTATGGGTCGAAAGTGACTCAATGGCACTTCAGAACAACAAAAGGAAAGCCTGTACAGGGTCCTATGAATCGGAACTGACTCCACGGCACATAACCACCACCACCACCACGACCACCACGAAAACAAAACAAGGAGTCCTGGTGTGGTGTTGTGGATTAATGCGCAGGACTGCAATGTCGGTTTGAACCTCAATATCGGCGGTTCAAGTTCACCAGTCGCTCCTCGGAAACCCTGTACTGGGTCGCTATGGGTCGGAATCAACCTGACGGCACTTAACAACAACAAAACAAAACAAAAACATTAATTTTTAAGACCGGGGGAAAGAACTAGCCCGGTGAGTGGTTATATAACCATTCCAGGGTCTTTTTTATTGCTTTCTGTTGTATCCCAGACTCTAAAACCCTTTCTTAGAAAGATAAAGCGCACTTCCTATACCACAGTTATTGGCAAGTGTTTCTATTCTCCAAGTGAACAATTACCAGGTCGCACCCAAAATAATGTCAGCAAACAAATTAAAGATTTGGGCGTGCAAGAGTCCACTAACTGCCTAATTCCAGGATGCCACAGAAGGTCTCTCCCAACCTGGGGAAGAGAACAGCTCCCAAATGCTAAGCCAGCAGAGGCGGGGATAGTCCCTCCGCGCTCCCAGAACCCTGACCAGGGTACTCCCGGGAAGGAGGGTGGCCGTGAGAGACCAACAAGGAGGGGAAACTTAGGGGGAAAGGAAAAGAGGCACCCAACGCTTTAGGACCAGCTCCAGGCTTAGCGGAGGCCTGGGGGGTCTCGGTTTCGGAGCCCTGATGTGGAACAGGTACCCGGGAAGTCACGGTGCCCACTCACCGCTGCAGCTGGTGAAGTAGAATACCATGGTCCCAGCGTCGGAGCTGCCACTCTTGCGCAGAGCAGCACCGCTCAACCACAGCCCAGGATACCAGATTCGCGGCAGCCGGCAGCTTTCCGGAAGTACTCGCACTTCCGGCGGATGTGGGCTTGCGTCATATAGCCGGACCATCGGCATTTTCTTTAATTCGGGCAGGATGTGTTGGGATTTAAAATGATATAGGGATTGAGAAGAAAAATGAATCCAGGATAAGTGGTGATTGGAAACTATCAGCTTTTCTAAAGTCATAAAAGAAAAATGCCAATGACAGACTTTAAGAAACTACCTAGTGGCTACAACAGTAGGTTCAAACATAATAATGATAGTGAGGTTTGTGAAGTTAATGAGTCAGAAGCAACTCAATAGTACCCAGTGGACAGTGACGTTTTACGGATTAACAGGGTTTTGTTTTTTGGTGGGTTTTTTTTTTTTGCTTCCTTTTCGTCTCACCCCGATAGCTCTGCTAAGAGCAGAAACTGCTTCTTCACAACTAGTCATTCATCCTTTTTGCTTAGCTCCACTAGCTTCGCCATTTGTAAGGAACATCTGGGAGTGGCATTAGACGCTGTGGGTGAATGCCCTGGACTGCACAGTCTGTTTGAACTGCAAGGTCGGCCGTTCAAGCTCACTAGCTGCTCCTCGGAAACCCTATACAGGGTCACTGGATCGGAACCTCCTCGAGGACACTTAACCACAACAACAGCCTCACTTTTCAAATCTGTGAAAGGATAACAAAGCGTATGATCAGTGATGGATTACCTAATAAGCAAGGTAAGCATGTGCTAAAACCATCAACAAACAGAGGCAACGGTTGTCCAAAGCGAAGACCCATTCAATGACAAGCAGATGGGACACGAGGAAAAGCGAACACCACAGTGGAAGGGAACTGGTAGGGCACTAAATAAAATTGATGCCATTTTACAAATTTTGTTGTTAGCAATTACATTTTCCTTTTAATTTTGGACCTATCGGGTATAACACCTCCTTGACCACAAAAGAATGCATTGGCTGCTCTATGCTGACATTGACTTGTCATGTATTTTGTCCTGTCTTGTGCAAGTGAACCAAAATGCATCTTAACATAAAGCTTGACCTTGAGTTTGTATCATGCCTTTTTTAGTCATCCTCACCCTGTGTAGTCCAATGAACTCTGAAAGCTCAGCAACAAAGAATGGAAAAAGAGTACACAAAGTTTTAAAGTATTATTTGAAAGAGAAAAATACTGACCTTTCTCTTTCTCTTGGATGTGAGAATTTCGTACTCTGTCTTAGCCAAAATGAAGGCTCAGGACTTTCCCTGCAAGGAAAAGGACCTACCCTGGTGTGGCGCTGCAGGATAATGCTCTGGACATCAAGGTCCGTTAGCAATGCAACATCTACAGTTCAAACTCACCAGCTGCTCCTTGGAAACTACTACAAGTCAAAAACAACTCCACAGCACTAACAACAATAGCAAAGGTGGAGTTGTCACAGCCAAAGTAACTAGAGGTGCAGTGTCAGAGCTCGCTAAAATCCAAGTTGTCCATAAATCCATTTCCAGAGTTGTCACAATCATGGACCAGACTCAAAAGGCAAACCTAAGGAAATTCTATAAGGGCAAGAAGTCCAAACCCCAAGAAAATGTATGCCATGCCTGCAGGCTTAACAAGCACGAGGAGAACCTGAAGACCAAGAAACAACAGCAGAAGGAGGCCTGATCATCTTACATCAATATACACAAATTAGCTAAACCATAAAATAGAAAGAAAATTGCTCATGGAGATCTGCAAAAGCACCAACTAAAACATCATACAGCAAAAGAATGAAATTATTTTCAGGCGTCTTCTAAGTACTCTTTATTTTGACCTGTAGAGCAAAATTGCATGTTCCAAATAATTTTTTTAACTTAGTAATTTTCAAATATAAATTTTTGTGTTAATGTCAAAATTTTAATATGAATTTCATTTTAATACATTTTACTTGTTTTGTGGCCCCATTTTGGAGTGAGTTGTTAATGAGGCAGGATTAAGATGGGACTAAGGAGTAAAGATAAAGGTAGAACTAAGGATTAAGGATGCCCCCATTTTACTAGAGAGTGAGACCCCAGTCACAACCTTACTTTTCCTTGGGGGGTGGGGGGTGGAGGCATGGCCAGAGTCTAATAGACAGGTCAAACCACTCTGGAAAACAGTGTTGTGCTTCCTCAGAAAGTTGGAAATAGAAATACCTTGTTGTTGTTGTTGTTAGGTGCCATAGAGTCAGCACTGACTCATAGCGAACCTATGCACAGCAGAACAAAACACTGCCTGATCCCGGGCTAACCTCACTATTGTTGCCTTGTGATCCAGCAGTTCCTCTACTTGGTATTTATCCACAAGAAATACAAGCCATAACACAAGTACATATGCACACCAATGTTCAAAGCAGCACTATTCACAAGAGCAAAAAGATGGAAACAGCCTAAGTGCCCATCAATGGAAGAATGGATAAACTGGTACATACACACAATGGAATATTATGCTACCTTGAAGAATAACAAGGAAGCTGCAAGCCACCCCATAACCTGGATGAACCTTGAGGGCATTATGCTGAGTGAAATTAGTCACAAAAGGAGAAATACTGCATAGGTCCATTATTGTAAAAGCTTAAGAAAAAGTACCCACATTAAAAGGGAAAAAAAAACTTTGTCAGTTACCAGGGTATAGGGAGTGTGGCGAGGGGAGGAAGGGGAAGGCAGAGCACAGGGTAGGGAATAGACAGGATAGTTTGGGTGCTGTGTGTGTGGGGAGTGACAATACACAAGGGGAAGGGTAATGGAAGAACAAGGTGGATGGGAGAATATTTAGGCAGGTTTGCATGGGCTAAGTGGGACAGAGGTAAATAGTGATATATGCTCAACTTTGGAACAACAGGCATGGTTTGAATGGGTAAAAGAGGGGAAATAATGTTAAGATGCTTGACTCTTATGAATTTTGGTTTCCCTTGCCTACTATTATAACATAGACACTTGAAGGGGAGAGAAAAGTACAGCCAGAAACATCACTATACAAAGCTTGTTAGCCCATCTTCAGCCTATAACTGATTGGAATACTTAAATGGGGCTAGAACTTGCCCAGTGAAGGAGGCTTCCTGCGGTCTTTTGCATTGCATAAGACCATAGGTTGAATCCTGATCCCCATCCGGAATCTTATGAGGTGGGAAATTTTTACTTGAAAGGATAAGCAGACTAGCCTGGAGTGGCTAGAAGAACAGAAGATACTTCTTGAAAGAAAGACCAGCAGGAAAAATCAAAAACAATAACAGCAGTCGGATTGACTGCTACAAGAACAAGCGAGTTGTTTGCTTGCTAGCCATCAAGGCAAGCAGTCAGGTCCCCTCAGGGCAAACCCTCTTCAAGCCTGAGACTCAAGGGGAATAAACAAGCAGACAAGTGGTCTTGCTGGTGACCACGTTGGTCTACCGATAAGGGGAAATAGGGGGGGAAACAGCAATGCAGTTGTGAGCTAAATCTGACCACATTCAATAGACTCTTGTTAGCCTGGATTATGATCTGGTTGACTAGCAGTATTGTGAGACCTGAGGACTCCTGAGTCCATGGATAGGACATAGCAACACAGAACTAGAGTGGAGAGTGAAGCATCCAGCTGATAGAAAGTGAAGGGAGATGCACAAGAACACCCAAACTTGCAAATAGTAAACATTTGACCTGGCTTCAACAGCTGGATGATCAGAATTTGACTAGAGGAAGAAAGAAGAAAAAAAGTGTAATCCACTACAATTTGAAAGAGCTCTGGAAGCACAGTGGTTACGAATTGGGCTGCGAACCGCAAGGTCAGCAGTGCGAAACCACCAGCTGCTCTACAGGAGAAAGATGAGGCTTTCTGTTCCCGTAAAAATTTACAGCCTCAGAAACTCTGTACACAGGATCACTATGAGTTGGAAACGACTCCCAGGCACACAACAACAACTACAATTTGATGAACTTGACCTATAATTATGGATTTAATAGCTCAAAAGAGGGAATTAATCTTTACAGCGATGATCATTCCCACCCCCTTGGTACACAGAGTTGACAGGGATGGGCAACTTGGACATTGGCTACCCAAAATGGGGGGCTACAAAGGCACGGAGTGTCTGGCTTACAAGTTTTCAAGAGGGAGCCTAGTTTCAGAGGGTGCAGGGGAAGGTAGAATCTCCACTGAGTGGTTTCAACCTGTCTGGACAGGGCTGGTGAAAGGAGATGGTGATAAGACTCTTGTGGTTCAATACTGAATAATTGCTATCAGGACTGATTATGAATGTCATAAATGTAAAGGTAGATGTTTTGTAACAGAAGGAGAGGAGCAGTTGATCTTGCAGTCCATGAGCAGAGGACCCTGGGACCATCAAGGGAGAAGAGCAGAGTGCGGGACCCTATCCAGAGAAGCAGTGATGCCAGAGATTGAGTTAGAGGCGATGGCATGGAGAGATGGAGTGGCTGGGGACTCTGGACTCTGGGAGGAGAGGACCTGTGTGCTGGTGGCAGGGGGGGTAGGCTTATGGGGTATACCCTTTGGTTGTTTGAATGGTTATTTATTCCTGAGTGCTTTGGTGTACATCCAAATAAATAAATAAAAAACAGCAGGAATAGAAGCAAATATTGTTGAAAACATGGAGGGGATTGTAATCATTGCAATGAAATGAGTGTAAAACTGATGTTCTCCCAAGTAAACTATCACTCAATTCACAACAAAAACTTAAAAAAAAAAAAAAAAAAAGAGGTTTACAGCCTCAGAAAACCCTATGCAGGGTTGCTATGAGTCAGAACCAACTCCATGGCACATAACCAACCAGCCAACATATAAATTACAAACACATTCTGCCTGAAGGCAAAGCTGTCATGCTGCTTGTTAACGGTCTAGAAGAACCCAAGTAAAGTCTACACTCAAAATGGAGTTAGGGTTTCCACATGAACCCAAGCCTTCCGCAAAATGCTTTAGAATTTAAATTCTGATACAACCTGTTATTCTCTGAGGTATTTGCCTATACTATGACCATGTGAATCCTTTGAACACCATTATGGCCTCATATTGATGGTCTTCCTTGTCCAATAATTTGTCTTGTCTTTGTCCTGCTTAAGACAAAGGGGGCTCTATAAGATAAATTTGAATTTGGGAGTCTTTTATCCCCCAGAACAGGATTAAGTTCCAGATTACTGCAATAAAGCGAATATTGCAATTAAACGAGTCACAGAAATTATGTTTATACTGTAGTCTAGTAAGTATGCTATTGTTTTTGTTCAGTACCGTTAAGTCGGTTCTGACTCACAGTGATCCGGTAAAGGGTTTCTGAGGCTGTAAATCCGAGCAAGCAGTAAGTCTCATCTTTCTCCCACTGAGTGGCTAGTGGGCTAGAATGGCTGACCTGTGATGGTTCTAAATTCAGTGCTTATTCTACAGAGCCACCAGCATTATGAAAAAGATTGAAATATTATGTGAATTCCAAAATGTGGCACAGAGACAGGAAGTGGGCACACACTGTTGGGAACAAATGGCCCCATTGATTTGTTTGATGCTTGAAGATTGACAATAATCCTTCAATTTATAAAAAAACACAGTAATCAGGGCAGTACAACGATGTATACACAATTGTTAAGTGCTGTTAAGTAGATTCTGATTGATGTTGTTGTTGTTGTTAAGTGCCGTCGAGTCTGATTGATAGCAACCCTATATAGGGTTTCCAAGGAGCGCCTGGTGAGTTTGAATCGCCGACATTGTGGTTCAATGGTTCAAACCGACCTTGTTGTCCTTCTCATATCCTACAGCGAGCGCCACACCAGGAATCGAGGGTGAAAACTACAATTCCCGAAATGCCACGGAACAAACTCCCGGAATGGAGCGACCCTGACGCAAGGGATTGTGGGATGCGTGATTTACCTGAGGAAAAAAGACTTTTTTCTCTGGGTAGTGGTTACGAATCGGGCTGCGAACCTGAAGGTCATCAGTTCGAAGGGAGAAAGATGAGGCTTTCTGCTCCCGTAACGATCTCCAGTCTCAGAAACCCTGTACGGGTCGCTATGAGTGGAACTGACTCCACGGCACATAACCACCACCAGCAAGGGCGGGAGAATCTTGAAGACAGACACCCGGGTAGGCGGGGCAAGTGTTATTGAGCGAGCTATCAACAAGTCAGTTCCTTTAACTCGCTGAGACGCGGCCAATAGAAACGGAGCAGCTTCAGACGCGGCTGGCGCGCAATAATTTGAATACACTTACGGAGCATCTGGTTAGATTGAGGAGAGTTTGCACGACTGTGAGGAACTGGTAAGTACTGAGGAGGACCAAGGCTGGATTTGAAAGACTGAGAATGCTAGGTTCTGTGCGACGACGGAGGTGAATGTCAGGGAAAGAGAGTTCCTACTTTGACCTTGGAGCACCAGCAAGGACGAATTTACCTCTCCTTGATGCCGGAGGTTTTTTTTTTTGTTTTTTTTCTCCCCTCGCTCTGACAGGGTTCTGGGAGAGGGGTGATTTTCTCTTGTACCTAGGAGACTCCTACTTGAAGCCTCAGCTCTATATTAATTCTCAGAGACCCCAGTCTTTCTGTTTGTGTGTTTACCTTTTATATCACGCTTGTGTGATTTTTCGAAAAAATATCGGAAAAGAGTTTAACCTTTTTGGGCAACGTTGTGCTGGGGAGTGCCAAGTGGCTTGCTCACAGGTCTCCACAGGAGGGTTATGTTTACCTCCACCCCCACCCCACCCCTGTGTTTTCTGGGTCTGGTGAAAAAATTAGAAACTTCTCTACCTTCACTAAATGTTGAGGAAGACAGATGTTTAAACAAGTAAGAAAATGTACTAAATGGAATATGAACGTGATGTAAGATGCAATGGAAGCATAGAACAGCATCTCACAGTGGATAGGGTGTTTCATGGAGGACTTTTCCAAAGATGGAGTGTGTAAGCGTCCTGTATATTCATCAGGTTATTTAAGGGGGAAAGTGTACCGTGAAAAGGGGTAAAAAAAATAATTCCTCCTCGTTAGGGTCATTTTAGCTTGAAACATGCGTTATACCTGTTCTTATTTGCTACTGTGGTGTGGTAGTATTGTGGTTTTCCCTGCTTTAAATTTTTATTAATTTACTTTTTAATAAACCCTTTTCCTGCCCTTGTGGACCATCAGCTGTCTAGAAAATTTTTCAAACTTTTAAAGTATTTTGATATATTGACTTTCCTATTTATTTGATGAATTTGGTTAGTTAAAATGCTTTATTGCTTTTAGGAACTCAATTAAGAAGATGGCAGCTTTTACCCCAAAGAAAAGGAAGCTACACCCTTTGAACTGTGACAGGTGAGTCTCATCCTATGAGTCCACTCACTATCTTTGACTCGGTTTCATTCTTTGGGTATTGTTGTTCCTACTCATAACTGCCCTACTATGCACAACAGAACAAAACACTGCCTGGTCCTGCACAATCTTAGTCATGTTAGAGCCCAGCCACTGTGTTAATCCATCTCATTGGGGGTCTTCTTCTTTTTCTCTGTCCTTTTCCTCTTTTCTCTGTCCTTTTCCAGGGCCTAGTTCCTCCTGTTAATATGACCAAAGTATGTGAGACAGTCTTGCCATCTTTGCTTCCAAGAAGCATTCTGGCTGCACTTCTTCCAAGACAAATTTGTTTGTCCTTCTGGTAGTTCATGGTACTTTCAGTATTCCTAGACAATACCATAATTCAAATGCATTGATTCCTCTATGGTCTTCCACATTCATTGCCCAGCTTTCACGTGTATATGGGGTGATTGAAAATACCATGGCTTGGGTCAGGTGTATTTTATTCCTCAAAGTAATATCTTTGCTCTTTAACACTTTAGAGTGGTGTTTTACAGCAGATTTGCCTAATGCAATATGACCTTTGATTCCTTGCCTGCTGCTTCCATGAGTGTTGATTGGGTCCAAGTAAAATGAACTCTTTGACAACTTCAGTATTTTCTCTGTTTATCATGATGCTGTTTATTGGTTCAGTTGTGAGGATCTTCATTCTCAGTACAATCCATACTGAAGGCTTGATCTTCCTCTGAGTAGAAACCATCTTATAAAAATCTACCATCTTATAAAATTTCCATTCTTCCACTCATGTACTCCTTTTGACTATTGTAATATTCTATATTCTAATTCTAGTCTGAAAATACTGTAAGTTTTCATAATGAAGTTTTAGTTCTTTTGCAGGGAATCACAGAAAAAGCTGTTTTCTATATCTGGGAAAGCATGCCATACCTTTTTAATTACCCTGCTCTTTTCTGCTGTTCTGCAATAGTGTTTTTGAATATAATGGATGCTTATTCTGTAGGCAATATTAGAAAGAGTGTACTCAGTCATACCTGAGATATAAATTACTCGCAACAGAACAGCCTCTAGGAGATCAATTTATTCCAGTTAATTAATCATTATAAGGAACTTCCTATAACCAGTTGAACAAAGTATATGAACTTATCATTTGCATATGGTCTAGACATCAGTTTAAAAATAAAGACACACACATATACATACATATGTATATCAAAATTCTTTGTAAACGATGTTTACTTCCCTGAACAACATTGGGACCTTCCTTTTAAAAAAATATTTGAATTCTTTGTTTGGTAAAGACAATTTGAGTTGGTTTGCTATTAAATTTATAGATAATGTGTTTGTATATGTTTTTCAGAGAGGGCTGTTGTTTTTAATATGACCTGTAGGTAAAATTGTTTCTTATTTAACAGTAAATTGAAGTAAATGTTGAAGCAAAATAGTGATTACTTACCAATGGATTTGATTTCTTGTCATAGCCTATTATCAGACATTCCATCAAAGAAATTAATATTGGACTTTCCTGAAAATATATTTCTACCACCTAATAAAAAGCACATTTTCCAAAACAGTGATAAAAATGAAGAAAAGAAACATTGCTTTCAACAAGACCATTTCACTTCAAGTTCCCATGATATCTCATCATTTACAACAACTAAAAAAAATAGATTGCTGTCTGCAGATCCAAATTCACCGTTTAAATCTGCTGTGTCTACTGTATCATTTTACAACAAAGATAAGTGGTACCTCAATCCACTGGAGAGAAAATTGATAAAAGAGAGTAGAGCCACTTGCCTAAAAATGAATAAGGAAGATAAGCCTTTACCCATTTTGATGGAAAAAATTCAGGGAAAACCAGTCTGCTCCAAGAAGATGAACAAAAAGCCAAAGAAGAGTTTAACTGCTAAGTGTCAACGAAGTTATAAATGCATCAAGCCTATATCAAGGAACTCTAAAAATTCCAGGCACAACAGAGTGGCCTATAAGCCAATTGTGGATAAAGAGAATAATTGTTATCCAGCTGAAAATAATCTGAATGCTCCTCGAGTTCTAAGCCAAAAAACAAAACCACATGTTACTCTGCAGGGTGGAGCGGCATTTTTTGTTAGTACAAAAAAGTCCTCCCTTAGAAAATTGTCTCTGGAAAATAAGTCATTACTGGGACCTGCTGGAAAGAATAAATCAGAAATGACTGAAGATTCTGATGTAGACACTGTCTGTGAAAGAAAAACCTTTGAGACAAGGCAAGCGCCTAAGTACTTACAAGAACTGAACATCGAGCTACTGGGTACAAGAAGTGAGAACGAAGAGAAATTAATAAAGGTAAAAAAAAAAAAAAACTATGTATCACTTTAAAAACTAAGTTGGTGATTTAAAAAAACATACGTATAAATAATATGTTGTTGTCGTTAAGTGCTGTCGAGTCTATTCCAACCCATAGCGACCCTGTATATAGTTAACGAGGAGCGGCTGGTGAGCTTGAACCGCCATCATTGCAGTTCAAACAGCTTTGCAGTCTGGCGCATTAGTCCACAGTGGTGAGGGGACTTCAAAAAGTTTATGGGAAAATTTAATTATCTTTTCATTCCTTTTCCACAAACTCTGTGAAGTCCCCTTGTATAGCATAGTTATTTAAAACCTAGAGGACTGATTTTATGAAGCCAGGTAATGTACAGTTTAGTTGCTATAAAGAATTTAGAAACAGGGTAGAAATATGAGATTTTCTCCCCTTTTGGCTTAAGAAAGCTTACTGACATTTTGTTGGCATTAAGACATAGGTTTTATTAAATTCTTTCATGGGTAAGCGTATTCAGAGAAATTTAATAACTTATTTGGTAATCAATGTTTTTAGGAAGTAGAAGTAAGAAAGTTTAGGGAGCTTCCAGAGTGTAAGCATATTTGTTCATTTTGTTTTAGTTTTATTGCTTAAAGTAATCCTTTTTTCTGTAAAATATAGAGACTAAAGTGTGGAATATAAACAAATAAATCTTTATGCATTTGTTAGTTTGTCATTGTACATATATATACCTCCTGTAATATCAGGACCTAGAGATGATCACTGTTAACAAATAGTTGGGTTTTTGTTTACTTTATATAGTATGCTTTTATGGTGGCTATGTATGCCTTCTTATCATGCTCATAATTAATAGTCTAGAAGAGGTTATTTTTATTTGATAGAAATGTAATAATGAGCCATATGTAATTAAAAATTTTCTAGTGGCCATATTAAGAAAGTCTTAAAAGTAAAAAATATTTAAATAAACATACTACCATTTTAAGGTAGTATAGCATACTACCTAGCATAGTGGGTTACTAGTTGGGCTGCTAACTGCAAGTCAGCAGTTCGAATCTACCAGTTGCTCCTAGGGAGAACGATGAGACTTTCTGCTCCCATAAAGCTTTATAGCTTCGGAAACCCTATACAGAGTCACTATGAGTTGTAACTGACTTGTTGGCATATAACCCCTACTTCCACCATTACCATTTGAATGTAATCAATATAAAAGTTATTAATGAAATATTTTACATATTTTGTTTTGTACTAATTCCTGAAAATCTGGGTTTATTTTATGCTTCAGGCATATCTCAATTTGGATTAACCACATTTCAAGTTCTCAATGTTATTTTTAAGTACCATCAAGTCAGTTACAACTCATAACATCTCTGTATAGGGTTTCCGAGGAGCAGCTAGTGATTTTGAATTGGTGACCTTGCTGTTAGCAGTCCAGTGCTTATCCTGCAACGCTACCTATAAGAACTCTGTAGCTTGTGGCTATTACATTAGATAGAGTCCTGGTGTGGCAGAGTAGGATAAGCACTGGATTGCTAACCACAGGTAGGTGGTTCAAGCTGACAAGCTGCTCCTCTCAAACCCTATACAGGGTCACTATGAGTTGGAACTGATTTGATGGCACTTAACAACATTACACAGCAGACGTTTAGATTTTCTATCTGGAATCTTATCAAAGAAAAGTTTTAATTTTATTTTTCCATGTAGGAGCCCTGGTGGCATGTAGTCTTTGGTCTGCTAACCACAAAGTTGTGGTTCAAATCCACCAGCTTCCCTGCAGAAGAAAGATGAGGCTATCTGTTGAAGCTGACTGCTCCTGTAAATTTTTCGTCTCGGAAACCTTGTGGGGTAGTCTGTCTTAAAGGGTTACTGTGAGTTGGAATCAACATGACAACACTGAGTTTCATGTTTTGGTTTGATACAGGGTCATTAAGAATTAGAATTGACTTAACGGAGTGGTGGGTTTGATTTGGTTTTTAGGAGCAGAGAGCAATTGAGGAAACATGCCTTAAGAAAGGCCGTCTCCCGCCTGTGTCTGTGGTAACTTGTTTATACTCATCACAACCCTTGCAGGAGAAATGATAGGCATACAGAGTGCTCAGGACACTCTCAGGCTCGTATGCTGAGCAACTCAAACCCTTTTTGAAACCTTTGAGACAAGACAAGTGCCTAAGTGCTTACAAGAACTGAACATTGAGCTACTGGGTGCAAGAAGTGTCAAACTCTACCCCAGTTCATACCTCTTGTAATCACCTACAATTCAAACTTAAGGAAAGAGATTATTATAAGGTGATAGCTGTGGACCAAATCCAACCCATCAAATTTTGCTTAGTCTACATAATGTTATAAACAGTTTGAGCCAGGATTTAAAAATAAGAGATGTTACATAGAAATCTAGACGTTTGTAAATGTTGCTTCCCCTTAGTCAAGTATTGCTGAGTATCTTGATAAATGAGACATGTTCTTGTTGGTTATGCCATGATAGTCTAAATTTCACAAATTCTTCATATTCTGTTTCTATCAGAAAAACACCTCTATGTCTCAGGAGGGGTGATAGTCACATAAATTTATCAAGATTCATCAAACTCTATACTTTATATTTACCTGTATATAAATTTACCTCAAATACAAATTTGGAGAGGTGGTGTTTGTTGTTGATAGGGGTTCCAACTCATAGTGACCCTATGGACAACTGAACAAAACACTGCCTGGTCTTGTGCCATCCTTGCAATCATTACACTTGAGCCCATTGCTGCTGCCATTGCCAGTCCACCTTGTTGGGGCTCTTCCTCTTTTTTGCTGATGCTCCACTTTACCAAGCTTGATGTTCCCCCCTCTTGATAATACAAACCTTTTAAAAATCATTCTCAATCTAGCAAAACAGAGGGAAAGCCTCGGTATCTCCCTGAATACTGTCCTGATTAGTATTCTTCATATCTATTTGACAGTGAAGATACAACCTTACCACAGTGTCATGATAAATTCTCTGCAACACCTTTTCTGCCTTTTATTCCAAGATTCACCCTAAGAGACTGGTAATAGTCTATGAAAGACCAACCTGTGGTTAACTTACTGTGCCTCCAGGACTCCTTTCAGGCTAAGAAGCTTGACTTACACATTTTAGATGGTGAAACAAGCTTTGTGCTCTCTCATGATTTTGTTCAATACCAATAGCTAGTAGTCATCTCTGCTAGCTGTTTTCATGAGGGGTGCATACCCTTCTCCCAACTCAGACCTTTGAAAAATGGTAAACTGATGGTTATCATACCTTTGTTGAGATATTATGGTCTAGGAAAGGAATTTGTTTTTACTTAAGAGGGTTTTCGTTTGTTTTTATTTTTATACAACTGTTGTCGTTCAGTGCCTTCAAACTGGTTCCAGTTCATAGCAACCCAGTATGGGGTTTTTGAAGCTGTGCATCTTTGCGGGAGCAGAAAGCCTCATTTTCTCCCACAGAGCAGCTTATGGGCTCAAACCGCCAATCTTGTGGTTTGAAGTCTAGAGTTTATTGTACAGAGCCAATCGCGCTCTCCTACCCAAGATATATATTCCCTAAATCTCACCAAATTAGTAATAGTATGAATTTGTACTTTGTACTCCTTGTACTTTGCTTTTCCCACTTTCTAGCTGCTAGTGGTAGTGGTGTGCCAATGAGCTGATTCCAACTCATAGTGACCCTGTATAAGTAGGGTTTCTGAGCCTGGAAATCTTTAAGGGAGCAGAAGGTCTCATCTTTCCCCTGTAAGCAGCTGCTTGATTTGAACTGCTGACCTTTCAGTTAGCAGCCCAACAAATAACTACTACACTACTAGGGCTCCTTTCCCACTTTCTTATTACTACTTAAAAAGTGTGATTTACCAGTCTCTCCAGCCACTGAAGTGCATTCTTTTGCCTTTTCCTTGCTGATAGTTCCTTAGTTTCTGACCACAGTTTATCCCATTTCAGTTTGGTGGCTGCTGGAGAAATTTTTGCCATTTTTGCTTTTTTTTTTTGGTTCATATTATGGAAGTGATGTTCTGTAGTCCTCATTTCTACCATCTTTATCAGGAAGTATATTTTAACAGGATGGCAAATTATTACTTAGATATGAGTAGTAATGACTTTTACAAGTCATTTTTTAGGAAAAGAGGATGAAATGTAATTTGTAATAAATTAGATCTTTTAGAAACAGATCTATTATTTGGGTTCATTCACTAAATAGAAAACAAAAATTATGTATGTTTCTTTTCTTTTACCTGTTCATTATTTTCAGGATTCATCAGGTGGAGTAGTTTCTTCAAGGGAATGTAAACTTGATGAAAATAAGCACTTTCCTTTAGAGGATACGCTCAATGAGAACAAGGCAGGTAAGTTGGAGAAAATGTCTCAAAATGAGCTTTAAAATGTTTGGAAATGGACAATGATGACGGGTATACAACATGGTAAATTGTAATTAATGTCTATGAATTCTGTACTTAACAATGGTTAAATGACAAATATTTTGTTATATGTTTTAACAATAAGATTTTTAAAAACTCAAGAAGATGAATTTAGTTAATTATAATAATGTTTTGTTATGTGTATTAACATGAAAGTCACCTATAATAGTAATATTTTGTTGTTGGTTTTTTTTTCAACCCAATATGTATACCCAGAGTAAGTATCGTGTATTTATATCTGTGACAAGTGGTGCAGTTCATTTAGAAAAGCAGTTGACAAGGAGACTTTAGAACTTGAGACAAAATGTTAACACTTAATTGTTCTGTGCCTGTGGTCACATTGAAGAACATATTAACTACTTCCAGGTTTTAGCAATTATGAATGAAGCAGCTATACATATTTGTATACAAGTTTTCAGATTACTTAAGAGCATGATTGTTGCATTCTACGTTCAGTTTATAAAAAACTCCCAAATTGTTTTCCAAAGTGATGGTGTTATTTTGCATTCATTTGTTAACTCCACATTCTTGTTAACATTTTTTAGATTTTAGTGATTCTAACAGGTTTTTGTTGTTGTTAAGTGCCATTGAATTAGTTACAACCCATAGCGACAGGTATATTTCATTGTTAGTGCTGTCCAGTCAGTTCTGACCTATAGCGACCCTTTATAGGGTTTCCAAGGAGCAGCCAGTGAGCTTGTTTCAAACCGACTTTGCAGTCCAGTGCTTTAACTCACAGTGCCACACCAGGACTCCCAAAATGAATGCCACAACTCTATCTAATCAGCAGTCTGTTGTTGCTAAATGCTGTCAAGTCAGTTCCAAGTCATAGCAAGTCTCTATAGGGTTTCTGAGGAGTGGCTGGTGAGTTTGAACCTCCAACCTTGTGGTTCATACCTACCTTGCAGTCTAGAACATTAGCCTGTAGTGTCACACCAGGACTCAAGAGGTATATTATTATGAAAGATGGGGTTTTCTGCTCCTGCAAAGATTTAAAGCCTCAGAAACCCAATGCATGGTCACTATGAGTCAGAACCAAATTGGAGACATTTAAGGCAGATTATGCTGAGCGTCTTTTCATATGTGTGTGTATGTTTTATCATCCATGTATCCTGTTAGGTGAAATGTCTATTCAAATCTTTTGCCCATTTTTAATTGGATTGTTTTCTTATTGTTGAGTTTTAAGAGTATATATATATATATATATATATATATATATTTATATATATATATATATATTCTGGACACAAGTCTTTTATCAGATAGAGACTACCTACCACTGAGTTGATTTCAACTCATAGCGACACTGTAGGACAGCATAGAAATGCTCCTTAAGGGTTTCCAAGACTGTAAATCTTTACAGGTGCAGACAGCTTCATCTTTTTCCTGCATAGTGGATGGTGGGTTTGAACTACTGACCTTATGATTAACAGATGTTATGCATTACCCTTTATGTCACCAGGGCACCTTTTTTTTTTTAAATCAGACAGGTATATTTTCTCCCAGTCTGCGTTTCATTGTCTTGACAGTATTTTCACAAAGCAAAGTTTTAAAATTTGATAAAGTCCAACTTATTTTATTTCCCATATATGCTTTTAATTAACCTAAAACTCATCCTCAAACCCCAAGTTCATGCAATTTTATTTTCTTCTAGAATTTTATAGTTTTATGTTTTACATTTTAAAATCTGTGATCCATTTTACATTTTTGTATAGGTACGTATATACTCTTTTGCCTATGAATCTCCAATTTCAACACTATTTTGTTGAAAAGATCACCTTTGGCCCTTAATCAAAACAGTTGATTATATTTGTTTGAATCTGTTGAATTTAGGAGTCCTGGTGTGGTGCTGTAGACTAAGCACTGGACTCCTAACTACAAGATTGGCAGTTCAAACCCACCAGCCACTCCTTGAAAACTGTACACAGGGTCCCAAGTCAGAACTGACTTGATGGCACTTAACAACAGCAAGTACAACATTTCTATTTGTTTATCCTTTTGCCAGTACCATTACTGTAGGTTTGTTTTTTGTTTATGCAGTGAAAATATATACAATAAAATATATTATCAGTTTAACAATTTATATAGGTGTTAATTCATTGACATTGATTACATTTTTCAAGTTGTAACCACTCTTTCCATCCTTTCCAAATTATCCCATGAAACTACCCTTCTCCCTCTCTCCTCCCATCCCTGGTAACCACTAATAATTTTTGGTTACTAGATGAGCCCTGGTATGGCACTGTAGGATAAGTACTGGACTTCTAAGTCACTCTTGGAAACCATATATAGGGTCACGATGAGTCGGAACTGACTCTACAGCACACAATATCAACAATATATTTTCTAAGAAGTATTGGTGATGTAGTAGTTAAAGCACTTGGCTGCTAACTGAAAGGTCAGTGGTTCAAACCCAGCAGCCCCTTCTTTAAAAAAAAAAAATGTGCCAGTCTGTTTCCATAAAGATTTACAGTCTTAGAAACACTATAGGGCTGTTCTCTGTCCTTTAGTGTCACTATGAGTCAGAATCCACTTGATAATGGGTTTGTGTTTACGTAGTTACTTATTTCATATAATTGAGATCATATGATGTTTGTCCTTTTGTAATTTATTTCGCTCAGCATATTCCAAAAGTTCATCCATGTTGTGGCATGCATTGGGACTTCATATATCTTTATGATTGAGTAGTATTCTATTGCTTCAAATGTTTATCTTTTCTTTCCATTTTTCTATTTATCTGTTGATGGACATTTCAATTGCTTCTACCTTTTTTGGCTATTGTGCAAAGTGCTGCAGTGATCTTTGTGTACTGGTTTCTGTTTGAATTCCTGCTTTCACTTTTGGATTGTTACTATTGTATCATATGGTAGTACTATGATCAACTTTTTGAAAAACTGCTCATATTGGCTATAATATTTACATTCTTCAAGCAATGAATGAGAATTCCAATTTCTCACAACCTTGTCAACAGCTTTTGTTTGTCTTGTTCTGTTTTAAATCATTATCAATCTAATAGGGGATCAGGTAATGTCTGCATGTCATGTCATGTGGTTTTGATTTCTAAGTCCATAATTGTAAAGTTTGTTTGAACTGCAGTGTCGTCGGTTCAAACTTACTAGCTACTCCTCGGAAAACCCTATCCAGGGTCACTGTAGGTTGGAACCGAATCAATGGCACTTAACAAGAGCAGCAGTGCTTGATGGAAGTTCTCTGGTTTTACAGCCTTGGAAACCTTACGGGTTCCTCAATGGTAGTGGGTTTGGTTTGGCTAATGACACTGGACATATTCTCATGTGCTGTTGGACATTTGTATATCTTTGGTGAAATGTCTATTCAAGCCCTTTGCTTGATTTTCTAATTGGGCTGTTTGTTTTCTTGTTTTTAAGTTATAGAAGTATTTTATATAATTTATATATTAGATTTTTAATGGATATATGGTTCCCAAATATATTTTCCCAATCAGTATTTTGTCTTTTTACTTTTTTTTGATAAAAGCATTTAATTTTTATGAGGTCCCTTGTATTATTTGGTCTTTACTGTAGTTTTATAGCAAGTCTTGAAACTGAAGAATGTTAATATTTTAGTATTATTAATCTTTTAAATCCTATGGCATAAAGCTTTTATTTTATTATACAAATTATTGATGTTTTTTTATTTTTTCTTTCCAGCTTCTCCTGAGTCCATTGTTTACTCAATTTTCAGTGTGTCTTCAGTCAATACAAAAAGGTAAGGATTGTTCCTATTTTAAAGTCTGGTCAATTTAAATAATATTGAGATACTTTGGACTCTAATACTCAAATATTACTGCATTGCCAACCTTTAATGGTTTAAGATTTTTTAAAATTTATTAACTATATGGATGCTCTCAGTCTTCTTTTCTTTCCTATACTACTTTATTTGAGATGCATTTTTTCTTCTCCACCAAGGGAATATTAAGAAATGGAGATGAAGTCAGGACACTTTCATAGCAACGTCTTTTATAGTTAGGATAAGGGAATGATATATATGGGCTTGTTGTTTTTAAGTGCTGTCGAGTCAATTCTGACCCATAGTGACCCTGTATAGGGTTTCTGAGGAGCGGCTGGTGAACTTGAACTGCCGATCTTCGAGTTCAAACCAACCTTTCAATTGAGCACATTGACCCACAGTGCCCCACCAGAACCCCTAATTCCTAGCATTATTACATGGTAGTTGGCACATATAAGTAGTTTATATCCATTATCTCATTTAATTTTCAAAACTGAAGAAATTTAGTAATTTAGCCAAGGTTGAATAGCTAGTATGTGGTTGGACTAGAGTTCATATATGACTCAATAGATGATATTGCCTTCCTTAGGGTCCTGGTGTGGCATTGTAGGATAAGCACTGGATTGATAAAGACAATGCTTGTTATTCCAATCCACCAGCTGCTCCTTGGAAATCCCCTACAGGGTCCTTATGAGTCAGAAATGATGGCACTTAACACCAATAAAAACAACAAGAAGATAATACCATCACTTAACTGTCAATTTGTTTTGTTGTTGCATTGTTGCTCTGATGCTGGAAGCTATGCTACTAGTATTTCAAATACCAGCAGGGTCACCGTTGGTGGGTGTTTTGTGGTGGACTTCTACACTAAGACAGACTAGGAAGGAAAATCTATTTCTGAATTGCAGTGGAACATTATCTGGTACTGTACTGGAAAATGAGTCCCTCATATTAGATGGCACTCAAAATATAGCTGTGTGGATCAGAACAAATTATGGATAATATTGCCAAGAATGGGAATTCTAGAAAACTTAACTTGTGTTCTTGTAGAACCTGTACATAGACCAAGAGGCAGTCATTTGAACAGAACAAGGGACTACTGCATGGTTTAAAATCAGGAAAAGTATGCATCAGGTGTGTATCTTTTCACCATACTTGTTCAATCTCTGTGCTGAGCAAATAATGTGAAGCTGGACTATGTGAAGAAGAACATAACATCAGGATTGAAGGAAGAGTCATTAATAACCTGAGATAATGCAGATGATGCATCCTTGCTTGCTTGACGCAGCACTGATGAAGTTCAAAGACAACAGCCTTCAGTGTAGATTACACCTCAACATAAAACAAAAAGCCTCATAGCTGGACCATTAAATAACATTAGGGTAAATGGAGAAAAGATTGAAGTTGTCAGCAATTTACTTTACTTAGATTAGATCCAGAGTCTGGGGAAGCAGCACTGAAGAAATTAAACAAATTGGTCAAATTTGTTTCAAAAGACCTCTTTGAAGTGTTAAAGAACAAAGATGTCACTTTGAATACTAAGGTGAACCTGACTCAAGTCATTTTTAGTTGCTTCATATGCATTGGAAAATGGAAAAAATGCTGCAAAGACCTCTTTAAAGTGTTCAAGAGCTAAGATATTAATTAGTTTGAGGACCAAGGTGCATCTGACTCAAGTCATGATATTTTCAGTAGTCTTAATTATATGCATGTGAAGTTGCACAATGAATAAGAAAAATGTAGAATTGATGCATTTGAGTTATGGTGTTTGAGAAAAACATTGAAAGTATCATGGACTATAAGAAGAACAAACAACTCTGTGTTGGAAGAAGTACAGCAAGAATGCTCCTTAGAAGCCAGGGTGACCAGACTTCGTCTCTCATATTTCAGATATGTTATCAGGAGAGACCAGCCATGAAGGAAGCGATCATGTTTGGTAAAGTGGTGGGTCAGGGAGAAAGAGGAAGACCCCCCCAGTGAGATGGATTGGGATAGTGGCAGCAGCAATGGACTCAAGTATAACAGCAATTGTGAGGCTGTCGCAGAACCAGGCAGTGTTTGGGTCTGTTTTGCATGGGTCGTTATGAGTCAGAACAGACTCGATAGCACCTAACAGTAACTCAATACAATGTGGTATTGAACAATACTGATTTCTAGGGATGTGAGGCTAAACCTGGTTTTGCTATTAAGGACAGGCATTAAACAATAGTTGTTATAATTGTTAGGGCAGAAATAAGGAGACTGTGGGTCATGCAGGAGTGGCAGTGAGTTCCTTGGTAAAGGTGGCCTATGGCAGATGGGATTAGTGACCTGACAAATGTTTTTCTTACTGTAAGTAGCAACCTATTAGTAGTTCCTCAAATCAGTTTAAGAACATTAAATCCTGCATTTTTTTAAAAAAATGGAGTACTGCGCCTCTCACTTAGTAAGTATATGTAATGAAACTTTTGTTTTAGTTATTATATACATATTTGTCTCTACAGATTATGATGTAAGATGTATTTCTTACCATAGTCTGGTCATATCAGTTTGAAAACTACTCTTCTAGATAAATGGTAATAAGAGCTTTACTTAGTTTAAAGCATTGACCAATTTTTTCCAGTTTCTTTCTGTTTTGCTTGTCAATGATTTTTTGTTTGTTTATTTGAACTGCTTACTTTGGGCAGTTGGATTTTTTCTTGTCAATTTACTTCTGTTCGTTAGGGATTTCTACTTCTTTGATCCCTGGAAAAGCAGGACTCCTTTTATTACAAGCCAAAAGTGGCACATCAAATACCTGCAGAACCAGCCAGGTTGATGGTTCAAACCCACCAGCCACTCTGAAGGAGAAAGATGAGGCTGTGTGCTCTCATAAAGATTTACAGTCTCAGAAACCCTATATCGGGTCACTATTCATTGGAACCAATTCAATGGCAGTGGGTAATCTAACATTTCAAGGAACCTTGGTGGCACAGTACTTGAGTGCTAAACTGCTAAATGAAAAGTTGGCTGTTCAAGCCCACCCAGTGGTGCCACATAAGAAAAAACCTTATCCTTCCATGAGCAGCTCTATTCTGTCCTATAAAGTGGTTGTTGTGGATTAAATTGTGTTCCTTAAAAGTATGTGTTGTAAATCCTAACCTCTCTGACTGTGGATATAATCCCATTTGGGGATGGATAGCCATTGTGTCAGTGAGACAGGACTAGTCTTGTTATTAAGAAGTGCCATCGAGTTGGTTTCAACTCATAACCCTGTATAGAGTTTCCAGGGAACAGCTGGTGGGTTTGAACCACCGAACTTGCAGTCCAGTGCTTATCCCTCAGCACCACACCAGGACTTCAGGGTATGTTTTAAGTCAGTGTCTCTTGAAACACAAAAGAGACTAAACAAGCAAGCTAAGAATCAGAGATGGAGGAAAAGAGATGCCAAGCCACATGCAGATTGCCCAGGAACAAGAAGCACAGAAGAAACAAGTACCTTCCGCCAGAATCAACAATATGAGAAAACTTTCCCATAGAGCTGGCACTCTGAATTCAGACTTCTAGCCTTCTAAATGTGAGAGAATAAAATTCTGTTAAAGCCACCCATTTACAGCATTTCTGTCACGGCCGTATTAGATAATGAAGACTATTGCTATGAGTCGGAATTGACTCCATGGTACACATCAGCAACAATCCAAAGTTTGAAACACTGTATGGACCAACAAAACGTGTTTGTTAGCTAGATTTAGGTGGTGAGGCTCTAGTTACAATCTCTTTAAGCCATTCCCAGTTTTCTTTCCTAATGAGAATAGTTGCCTCAAGTATACCTATCCAATTGAAATGTGTATTTTTCCTGAGAATTTCAGACTAGTGGAGGTGCTGCTTTAGGTATGAGGTAACGAGGATTATTAGCCTTATGCACTCCTTGCTCAAATAAAAAAGTTGTTGGACCACAATAGGGCTTCCTGCGACTCTGACTGCCTTACTTTGATTTGAGATTCATTGTTAGAGTCCACTTTCTTGCTACAGCACCCCAGGGGTTTCTCTATCCTTAGATTTGTAAATATTGTTCTTGAATTTAGTAAAGCTAAAAACGATTGTATTTTTTTAATGTTTTATTGTGAATTATGTGATAGTTCACTTGGGAGAACATTAGTTTTACATTCATCCTATCATATATCATTTCACTGCCATGGTTACAATCCCCTCCATGCATCATCAACCAACCAAAGGGTATAGACTACAAGCCTGCCCCCCATCATTGTTTTTAAGGGAAAGTCAATTTACAAGGAGATTATCGCTATATGCATCTGATCTTCTTAGACTTGGAGTCAGAAGATGAAGTTTTGAGTCTTAAGACTGCCATTTACTGGTTACTTGACCTTGAGTCAATTGTTGATTCTCTCTGAGTGAAACTTGAGTATTTTGTTTTTACATCTATGACTTCATCAAGCTATTGTCAAATTGTTAAATATCCTGGAGTTAGTTCTAACTCATACAGGCCCTTTATAGGGTTTCAAGGAACGGCTGGTAGATTTGAACTGCTAACTTTTTGTTTAGCAGTCTAGTGCTTATCCTACAGCATGACATTAGGACTCCATTGTCAAACAGAAAACACTACAAATTGCAAGGTGTTCTGCAAGTGTTATTAGATACCTGTTTTATTTTTTATTCAAACATTTAAAGATAATTAAATGATATTAATTATTCTATTTCAAGCTCTGTAGCCGAAGAAAACTCTTCTGTGGGCTCCAGCATATCTACTAACTTCTTGAAACAGACCAATACACAGAAAAATGCCAGGGATATAAATAAAGAAATTAAAGACCAGTTCATCATTGTGAGTACATTAAAAATATTCCTCGTGTATGTGGCTTTCACATGTAGAACATGAAATCAGACATGCTTTTGGGGCATTATTACCATGTGTTAACAGACATTCTGAGTTTTTAAATGCCTGCTTTATTACAATTGAAGCTAGTCAATAGACTTTAAACTGATAGTGTTCAAAATTGCTAGTATTTTAGTAAATTGCTAATGAATGAGTTGTCTTCAGTAAATTGTTTTTGATCAATGAAAGATTTAATGAGAATAGCCAATATGGCTAACTATAGCCATGGGCCAGTTCTGTTCATGTCCTGTGAGCTAAAAATGGTTCTTACTGTCTCTCTGGTCCTTTATAGAAAAATTTCACACACACAAAAATTATATGATGCAAGACTTGTATTTTCAGTGGCAGTGAGCAGTGATTTATGAGTTAAGAGTGGGAATTATCAACCATGACATCAAATATCCCTAACTTTGCTACAAGAATTAGTATTCGTGAACTTATCTGCATTTTGCTGAACTTTTTCTAGCCACTTAACAGGAAAATAGAATGAATATGTTTTTGTAGTTAGTCACCATTGAGTCCATTCTGACTTCTGGCAACTCCGTGTTTGCAGAGTGGAACTGTGTTCCATGGAGCACTCAGAGCTGTTGAGTTTTCAGAAGCAGATTGCCAGACCTGTCTTCTGAGTCACCTCTGGGTGGGTTTGAATTGCCAAGTGTTAGTAATTGAATTTTTAACGACTTGTACACCCCAGAGATTTCTTATAATAAGTATGTTGTTGTTGTTATGTGCTGTGGATTCGGTTCCGACTTATAGTGACCCTGTACAGGTTTTCCGAAGCTATAAATCTTTACGGGAGCAGAAAGCCTCCTCTTTCTCCCATGGAACAGCTGGTAGTTTCGAACTGCTGACCCTGAGGTTAACAGCTTGATTCGTAACCACTATGCTACCAGAGCTCCTTTGTAATAAGTATAGAACTCCTCATTTTTGTTTTGCTTCTTCGAAATAAGACTTTTTTTTTAGGTCTTTTCATTTATGAGCTTTATAAGGAAGTTCCATTGTTCATTTATTACAGTTGTTTTATGATTTTACCTTACTTCTTTTGAGAACTATGGTCTAATTAAAGAATGTTAATTTTGTGCCCCATTCAAAGAAAAATTAGAAATTTGAATGAATGTTTTACATGACCTTAATTTAGAGCTATTTATAATATGTTTGGATGGCCTTTTCCCCACCACCCCCAATTTATAGGATGCAGGTCAGAAATATTTTGGGGCTACTATGTGTAAGTCTTGTGGTATGATCTACACTGCTTCCAACCCTGAAGATGAACTACAGCATGTTCAGTATCATCAGAGATTTCTGGAGGGAATCAAATATACGGTGAGTTAGAAGATAGTCTTTCAGTGTATTTGAAAGGTAAAACTGTTTTTACTTATTTAAACTTTATTATGAATTGGGTTAAGGTTTTACAGAGCAGATCAGTTTTCCATCCAATGTTTATGCACATTTTGTTTCATCTCATTGACTACAGTTTCCACAATGAAACATCTTTTATCCCTCTTCCTCCCTGTTTATCTTGTTTCCTTTCCTCCTTTCCTAATCCTTCTGAACTTTGTCCTTGGTCAAATGCTGTCCTTTTGATTTTAAATGGTTGATTATTCTAAGGGGGAGGGGGGTTGTGTGTTCCTCTCCCATGTTTTTGTTTTTCTTAAAGTACTGTCTGTTTGGCTGAACATTGAGCCATGAGGGTGAGTCTGTTTCCAGGTTTCTTTTGATTAAGTGTTGACAGATCTATATATTTATAGTTGCTCCATCCTCTGCAGTTTTGAAGATGACAGTATTAGAAAGTTAACTTTTAATAAGGCTGTCTATATCCCAGTTATAGAGAAGTGTTAGCCTAGGTTGAGTAAGTACACTGCATTGTTAATCTCCTTTTCTAGCTTTTTGAGCATTACTGAACCGTTAAGATACACATTTCAGACTTGAGATCTCATCTCCCTGCTTTAGAATATTTTTTTTAAAAAAATAAGAGTCTTAGGAGAAAAAAAACAACAACCTTTTTATTACTTCTCCAGTCTTTTACTCCGCTTAGTTAGGAAAGAGGTCCCACGTCTTCATCAAGTACCTTTCTAATCCAAACTTATTCTGTTATGGGCCTTACCTTTACAATTGTATTCAAATGCACATTTCCTCCTATTTTTATTGACACTGTTCATGCCTTATTATACCTGTAGTTTTTACCTGGTTTATTAAATTGGCTTCCTTACTTGTCACTCACAGAATAATTTCTTAAAATACAAGTCCAATACGATTCCACGTATTTACAGGAAAAAGTTCCCACCAGCAATTTGGTGATCCTTAAATTGGCTTTAAGCAACTGTGTGTGTGTTTGTGTTTAAGAGCAAGAGAGAATGTATGTTGTAATTTAATCTCTTCTCTGATTTGGTTGTCATACATAAGCCATAGAGAGTTCTTTCTAAGAGACAAATAAAATTCTGCCGTTTTTTGCTTCAAATTTTAATAGTTTCCCATTGCATTTAAAATCAATCTCAAACTTCTTACCATGGGAAACGAAGCCACTTCTTCATAATCTAGCCCCTACTCAGTTATTTCATGGTGCATTTTTGCTAGAGCACTAAGCTCTGACCCTTGGAACAAGCCAAACTTTTTTGATTAGGCCTGGGTGATATGTAGGAGCCCTGTGGCACTGTAGGGTAATCACTAGACTGCTGACCACAAGGCTAACACTTTAAACCCACTAGCTGCTCTTTAGGAAAAAGATAGGCTTTCTGCTTCTGTAAAAATTTACAGACTCAGAAACCATATACAAGATTGTTATGAGTAAGAAGAATTGATTTGATGGGTTTGGTTTTTTGAGTTGGATACTGTGTATGGTCTTCTGGTGTGGCTCTGTAGGATTAGCACTGAACTTTGAACCACAGGTCGGACTCAAACCCACCAGCTGCTCCTTGGGTCGCTATGAGTTGGAACCAACTAAATGGCACTTAACAACAATTGTTTATTGGCTTGCTTTCTTTAAGAGAATACGGTTAATTTATTTTAACCCTTATATATTTTTTGTATTAATCCTACATCATAGATAGATTTAAACCAAAAAAAAAGGAGGGGGGGCAGGGGAACTGGGAGAATACATTGTTTTTGATAAGGTAATACTTTTGCATGGTTCAAAATTCACAAAGTATACAGATGTGTAGTGTTTCTTCCACACTACCATCTCCTTTCTCTCCCCTCTAGGCATCCAGTTCCCTTTCCTGGAGGGAGGAACCCATTTATTCCTCCAAATGAACTTAATAAGTCTTCCCTTGGAACTCTGCTTGTCTTACCCTTTTGCTTATTCCTAGTAATTCATCAGGTTTTCTCTCCACTCTTAAGAAGTGCTCTTACTTGACTGATCTTGTTTCATAATAGACCATGTACATGTCTCCCAGTGAAATGGCATCCCCTTCAGAGCAGGCACCTTCTTTTTAGGCATCTTTGTGTTCCTTTTCACCTTCCTTTAGTTGTATGTTACTCTTTTTTATACTTTTCATTGTTTATACTTTTTCTAGACCAAATTATTTACTGTTCTTTTTCCACACACAAACTGTGACTTTTTTGTTTTACTTTGGCAGGGTTGGAAGAAAGAACGTGTAGTAGCACAATTTTGGGATGGAAAAATCGTTTTGGTCCTGCCACATGACCCAAATTATGCCATCAGAAAGGTGTGGAACATTATCCTCGTTCTCCTCCCAAGTCACCAAGAAATCGATCTGGGTTGAAGTGTCAATAGATAACACTCTTTGGGATGTGTAAGGATAACCCTCATAACAGTTCATACAAAACTGAATTTAGAATTACAAGGCACATAAAGGAATAGTCAGTTGGAGAGTAAAGAAAGCTATTAAGGCTCTACAGTTTATCTTTTACCTTCATCTTTCAATTGTGAAAGATAAACTAAGCTCATTGTTGAGAATTTATGACTCCAGAGCCTGTTACTTATGTTGGTAGTGTTTGCATTTCTTAAATTGGGTGCTTAGTCACCCTGAAGAATGAATGAAACTATAGACAGTCTAGTTTGATTGTTCCTACTCCTTATCTCTCCCAGGTTTTTGAATTTCTTTTTGTTGAAAATGATCTTTAAATTAGATGTTTAAAATCCTGTTTCCAAAATGGCAGATACATGCATCAATAGTGAAACAATTTGGGGCTTATATGAATGTAGGAAATATAGATAAGATTATAATGATTTCATATTATAAAATTTATATTACAAAAATTATTGTCATAAATTTTGTATGTGTGTATATATATGTGTGTGTATGTACAAGTATACATAATATACTTAAAATACATAATATAAAAAAGAAAGGAGGCTTCAAAAAGTTGGTGGAGAAATTCTGTGTTTTTTTTTTAAACAGCCTTAAGCAATTTTTGCAAAAGCAAATTCTGAGAGAGTGAGCTGTGGAGAGGACCCTTAGGAGGTTTTGACTTGATTGTCTTATGGCGTAGGCTTTGCTGTTTGTTGTTGTTAAGTGGTATCATGGGGTCCAACTCATAGCAACCCTGTATAGGGTTTCCTAGGAGTAGCTGGTAAATTTGAACAGCTGATCTTATGGTCCAGTGCTTTATCCCAAAGCGCTGCACCAGGAATCAGCATGTGATAATAGAGGGGAGGAATATTCATTCATTTTCTGAGAAGGGTTGGAGAGTTTCTGGAAGCAAGGAGATGCTTTTTTCATTTCCATATTTCTACCTGAAAATTTTTGTTATCTTTTAGTTCAGTTTTTCCACCAACTTTGAAGCCACCTTGTGTGTATCTGTGTGTGTGTGTGTATATATATATAATTTGTTTTTAAAGCAAATTCACCTCTTGGTTTTTAACATTAGGTAGAAGATGTCCAAGAACTTGTCGATAATGAACTGGGATTTCAGCAAGTTACTCCCAGATGTCCAAACAAAACCAAAACTTTTCTCTTTATATCCGATGAAAAGAAAGTAGTTGGGTGTTTAATTGCAGAGCCCATTAAACAGGTAATGGTATTTGTCTTCTAAATTATTGGCATAATTTTGAGCAAAATAAAAATTTGCTGAAGAAATTTCAGTAAGCATTTAAGATTGCTACTATTAATTATTTTTCCTGCAAAAGTATCCTTGACTTACATAGATAATTGAAGTCATTTATTTTTCTTATGTTTAATAGTTTGCCTTACATAAGCAGGATCAATGTCAGAGCTTGCTGTTTATTTGCTAATTTCTATATATAGACTATAAAATAGTGATTTTAAGCAAATGCTTAGAATCAAATTATTGACCATGTGGATTAGTGAAAATGACACCATGGGTTTGATAATTCATTGCAATGATCACACAGAACTCAGGCAATACTCATGATTTGGGGGTTCATAGCGACCCTGTGTATAGGGTTTCCAAGGCCTTAAAAGTTAATAGGCTACAATTCATATTCAGAAATGCTCAGAGCAGTTTTCCAATTAGGAAAGCCTCTCCTCTGTGTCCGTATGCAGGCATCTGCCCTGCTCAGGCAGTGTTACAGAATGCCCATGCGCTTCACTCTGCTGTAAGCCTCAGCCTGAAAGCGCTCAGCTCTAGCTCCCCAGTTGAGTGTGTAGAGGCACCATGTTACACAAGTGACGCTCTCGCCCCACAGCACTCAGCTTTACTTGCTCGTTCCTTGTGCTGGGTAGTCCACCACTCTGTTTAAGCCTCTGGCTCTTGGTTTTCCTGCCACTCCTCTGGTATCACAGCTCTTTGTCTCTAGGTTAAGGAGTTTCAGTGCGGAAAGATAACAGGATCCAAGAAATGTATTCCACTTCAAGTTTTTACAATCACAATTAACTCTGTTACTAATCACTCACAGCTCATATGATAACTCCCTCCACATTCTCTTACTCAGAGCCACCAGGAAAAGAGGAAATATACCCAGTCATTTGGTGGGAATTACAAAGACCAGGGCTTGAAGAGTCACATCAAGCAATTCACTGCATTATATTTATTTGGCAAAATAGTTATTCCCTGTCCTTTAACTAGAATCTAAGGATTCTAATTAATTCTAATTAATAAGTGGAAATATTCTAGAATTGTTGTTATGTGCCCTGGAGTCGGTTCCGACTCATAGCGACGCTGTACAGGGTTTCCAAGGCTGTAAATCTTTATGGAAGCAGAAAGCCTCATCTTTCTCCCGTGGAACAGCTGGTAGTTTCGAACTGCTGATCTTGCGGTTCGCAGCCCAATTCATAACCACTACGCTACCAGAGCTCCTTATATTCTAGAATAAGGGTTGGTAAATTATGTGAGCTAATTGTGGCCGGCCACCTGTTTTTATTAATAAGGCTTTATTAGCTCACCACCATGCACATTTTCTTACGTATTGTTTGTGGTGTCTTTTATATTACAATGGTAGAGTTCAATATATGCAACAAAGACCACATGGCCCACAAATCCTATAATATTTACTGTCTAACCTTTTACAAAATAAGTTGGCCTCCCCTGTTTAGAATAGAATGATGTGGTTTTTGCCCTCAAGGAGCTTAAAATGTATTCTTATTTAGAAAGAATTATAGTTGAAATATGCTTCTTTTAATTTTACTCAAACATACCCTATACTTCTTGAGTCCATTGCTGCTATTATTGTGCTAGTCCATCTCATTACGGGTCTTCCTCTTTTTTGTTGACCCTCCTTCACTTTACCAAGCACAATATCCTTCTCCAGGGACTGGGCCCTCCTGATAACATGCCTGAGGTATGAGAGAAGAAGTCTCACCATCCTGGCTTCTAAGGAGCACTCTGGCTGTGCTTCTTCCAACACAGATCTGTTTTTTTGTTCTGAGATCCATGGTACTTTTAATATTCTCCAGTATCATAGCTGAGATACATCATTTATTCTACAGTCTTCCTTATCCATCATCCACATTTCACATGCATATAAGGCTATTGAAAATGCCATGGCTGATTTCTTGACTGCTACTTCCATGCTTGTTGATTGTGGATTCAAGCAAAATGAAGTCTTTGACAACTTCAATCTTTTCTCCTTGTTACCTTGATAGTTGCTGTTCTACTGGTGAGGATTTTTTCCTTTATATTTAGGTGCAACCCATATCAAAGGCTGTGGTCTTTGATCTTCATTGTTGTTGTTAAGTGCTGTCGGTTCCTACTCATAGCAACCCTCTAGAGGGTTTCTAAGGAGCAACTGGTGAGCTTGAACCACCAACCTTGCAGTTCAAACTGGCTTTGCAGTCGAGCTCATTAATCCACAGCACCATACCATTAGCATATATTTTAAATCCTCTTAATATTTGACTGTCTTCTTGAGGTGACCTTTGAAATTTTCTGTTCAGCTCTTTTACCTCCTCACTTCTCCCACTTGCTTTAGACTCTCTACTGGAGTCTCTTCTGACATCCATTTTGGTCTTTTCCTTTTTTCTTGTCTTCTTAATGACCTTGATGTTGCCCCACAGCTCCTCTGTTCTTTGGTAATTAGTGTCTAATTCTTTAGATAATGTTCTTCAGATTATCTCTAAATTCAGATGGGATATGTTCAAGGTCGTATTTTGACTCTTTCAGCTTTCAGCCTAAACTTGCCTATATAACAGTTGATGGATTATTTCACAGTCTGCATCTGCTCTTGTTTTGGCTGATGTTATGGGAGCTTTTCCACCATCTCTACACAGATGTAGACAATTTGAGTTCTGTGTATTACATCTAATGAGGTTCATGTGCATACTTGTCTTTTATGTTGTTTAAAAATGGTATTTTTAATGAAGAAGTCGTGGGTTTTGCAAAAATCTGTCATAAGATCTCCATCTTTTCTGTCACCAAGGCCATATTTTCCAACTCTGAACCTTCCTCTTTGTTTCCAACCTTTGCATTCCAATCCCCAGTAATTATCAATACATCTTGATTGCATGTTTGATCAATTTCAGACTGAGGAATTTGGTAGAATTCAATTTCATCATCACTGACTTTAGTGGTTGGTGCATAGATTTGAATTATAGTTGCACTAAGTGGTCCTCCTTGTTAAGTGTCGTCGGTGCCATCACATTGATTCTGATTCATAGTGACCATGTATAGAGTTTCTAAGGAGCGGCTGGTGAGTTTGAACTGCTGAATTTGTGGTTCAAACTGACCTTGTGGTCCAGTACTTATCCTACAGCACCACACCAGGTCTGTCTTGTAAGTGTATGGATATTGTGCTTTCACATACAGGGTTGTACTTCAAGATCTTGAAATGTTCTTTTTCATGATGAAAGGGACACCATTCAACTTCAATTTGTTATGTAATTGTCAGATTCAAAGTAGCCAATACCAGTCCACTTCAGCTCACTAATGCATAGGATATTAGTATTTATGTATTGTTTCATTTTTGACAATTTCCATTTATCCTAGATTCATATTTTGTACATCATGTTCCAATTATTAATGGATGTTTACAGCTGTTTCTCCTCATTTTGAGTTGTGTCCCATCAGAAAGTGAAGATGATCAAAGCTTTAGTCCATTCACATCATCACGGTTAACTCTACTTTGAGGTGGCAGCTCTTCCCCTATCATATTTTGAAAGCCTTCCAACCTGAAGGATTCATTTTCTGGCAAAATATCTGACAATATACTGGTGCTCTTCATTATATTTCAGTATTCAATATTCTGGTGCTGTCTGACAGTGTCTCACTGTTAACATTCATAAGATTTTTCATTGACTAAATATTCAGAAGTAGTCCATCTTCTTCCTAGTCTTCATCTGGAAGCTCATCTGAAACCTGTCCACCATGGGTGACCCTGCTGCTATTTTAAATGCCAGTGACATAGCTTCCAGAATCACAGCAACAATCCACCACAGTATGACAAATTGACATATGAGTGATTGTGGAGTTAGTAGAGTAATTGTTGTTGTTAAGTGCGTTGAGTTGGTTCCAATTCATAGTGACCCCATATGGTGATTTTGGTAGGTTTCAACTGTCAATCTTTTGGTTTGCAGTTCAGTGCTGATTCTACAGCATCCCACCAGAAGATTAATTAAGGTGGTAGTTGTGGTTTTGTTAAGTGCCGTCTAGTCAGTTTTGACCCATAGCAACCCTGTATAGGGTTTCTGAGGAGCAGCTGGTGAGCTTGAACTGCTGACCCTGCAGATCAAACAGCTTGGCAGTCTGGCACATTAACCCACAGCACCACACCAGTAGGAGTGATTAAAAAATTTTTGACTATAAATGGGAACTTTTGCAGTGGTATGGTATCAACTAGAATGTAGTAGTATCTGAACACTACTAGTATTCTTCAAGCATTGTGTGACTATAAATGGATAAGAGTTTTTTTTAATGTATTTTAATATTGGTGCAGATACAATATTAATTTTAGATGGTTAAGTTTTGTTTCAGGACTATCATTTCTACTGTTAACTGTAAATGCTTCTGTATCACTGTAGGCATTCCGCATCCTAACTGAACCATCTGACTCAGAATCCCCAACTTCGAAAGAATGTCACAGGGCTTGGCAATGTTCAAATGTACCACATCCTGCAGTCTGTGGGATAAGTAGGATCTGGGTGTTCAGACTGAAGAGAAGAAAGCGTATTGCAAGACGACTGGTAGATACTCTCAGGTAAAAAATAAAATAAACCAGATTTAAACCCAGGTTAACTTTCCCAAACCTCTCCCAGCTCATGAGCAGTGGGAAATGATATTTGTAAGGCACACATCTATATAAAGACCATCAAACAAAGTCGAGCTAAACAAGTATTATTGGCAATAAGAAAAATATATAATATTCTAGCCTAGTATTTACCAAACTATCTGTAGTGAAGAACTAGTTAATTATCACAGACCAACATTTTATAAAATAAAAATGAATTACTAGGAAATCAAAACAAAAAATAAAAGTATAAGCCCAAATTTTCATTACATTCAATAAGACATTCAATAAGTAAAATTATATTTCAATAAGTATAATCAATATAAAATAGGTTAAAAAAGGAATTTTAAGAAATTATTGATTGTATTAATATCATATAAGATAATTAACAGAAATATGCTTTAGTTGTAGTTAACATGAAAGTAAGCAAGATAACCCTTAGAATGGGAGAAAACATTTGAAATTCATTTATCTAATAAGAATCTTGTGTTTGGCATATACAGAGAACTCTCATAGCAACGATAAGTAGACATATGTTGTTATTGTTGTTAAGTGCCATCAAGTCAGTTCCAACCTATAGCAACCCTGTATAGGGTTTCCGAGGAGCAGCTGGTGAGCTTGAACCGTCAACTTCACAGTTCAAACGGCTTTGCGGTCTGGCACGTTAACCCACAGCGCCACACCAGGACTCCTACCGTCAAAGTAGTGAGGGGCAATTCTCACAGCTTCCCAAAGTAAAGACAATCCCAAGTAGGAAAATTTATTCAAATTAAAAGCAACTAGAATGACTTTAGTCTATAGTTGGATACAACTATTTATAGAATCAGTTCTTAATGTTTTTACATTTTACTTTTATCAGAGGAGCTGCTGTTGCTATGGCAGTGGCAGTTGCTGCAGCCACAGTTGTAGCTGAATCAAGTCCACTGGGTGAAGTTCTAGTCTTCTGAGAAACAGTGTCCTTTTCTGTACCTGCATCTTCTAAAAGCTGTACCTTGACTTCCTTAAATTGGACATATAGTACAATTTAAGTAGACATTTCTCCAAGCAAGATACTTAAATTGTCAGTAGGCAAGGGAAAAGATGTTCAACATCATTAACTTCACCATAGTTAGCTCTCAGAGAAATGTAAACCAAAACCATGGTGTGATACCATATCACACATACTAATCAAAATACCAAACCTGTTGCCATCTTTTTGATCCTAACTCACAGCCACCCTAATGAATCAAGTCAAATTGTCACACACAGGGGTTTCCAAGACTAAATCTTTCAGAGACAAACTACCCCATCTTGAGTCTTTGGAGAGACTGGTGGGTTCAAACAGCTGACCTTACAGTTAGCAGCCAGGCACTTAGCCACTGTACCACTAGTGTTCTATTCACACACACTGGTGGTGGTGGTGATTGTGTGTCATCAAGTTGGTTCCAACTCTTAGCCATCCTGAGAGGGTTTCTGAGGAGCGGCTGATGGGTTTGAACTGCTGACCTGGAAGTTAGCAGTTCAGTGCTTATCCTGCAGTGCCACACCTAGGACCCTTGTTTGTACATTGTTGTTGTTGAGTGCTGTCGAGTCAGTTCTGACTCATAGTGGCCCTGCACAGCTGGTGGGTTTGAATGGGTGGCCTTGTGATTCAAAATGTCCTTGCAGTCCAGTGCTTATCCTACGGCACCAAGTTTCAGATATCAATATGAACAGTTCAAAGTGTGTAGGCATAGGAGTTTAAAATGGGAAATATTAATTCACTGTTTTCAGATAAAAGTCACATACCATAAAATTCACCTTTTAAAAATACTTAATGCAGTGATTTTTAGCATATTCACAAAAGTGTAACCATCGTCACATTCTCATCATCCCTAAAAACAGCAATTGGCAGGTACTTCCTGTGGAAGCAATCATGTCTCTCAGCCCTTGGGGACCACTAAGCCACTTTCTCTATAATTTGCATATTTTGGCTGTTTCATATAATGAAATCAAATAATAGGTGATCTTTTATGACTGGCTTCCTTCAGTCAGGATGATGTTTTTAAGGTTTCATCAGTGTTGTAGCATGACTCCGTATTTAATTCCTTTTTATTGATGAATATTGCATTGTAGACCCTCCCCTCTTGAATCCATTCATTATGGATTGGGTTTTCTTCTTTAGGGTTATTATGAGAAATGCTGTGAAGATTTGTATTTACTAGGCCATATGGTAACTTTTACTTTTTCAAAACCTACCAGAGTATTTGCACAGTGACTGTACCATTTTATATTTCCACCAACAATGAATGAAGGTGCCAATTTCAACACATCTTTGCCAACACTTGGTTATTTTCCCTTCCTTGGTTATACACTTCCTAATTGAAAAATGAAGGCGCCCTGGTGGAATAGTGGACTATGTGTTGGGCTGCTAATCGAAAAGTCAGTAGTTTGCATCTACCAGCTGCTTCATGGGAGACAGATGAGACTTTCTGCTCCTGTAAACATTTACAACCTTGGAAACACCACTTAAGTGTCGCTATGAGTCGGAACCAACCTAGAAGGACCATAATAGCTGTATGTGGAAGGAGCCCTAGTGGCATTAGGCATTGGGCTGCTAACCTCAAGGTCAGCAATTTGAATCCACCAGGAGCACCTACCATGTAAACAAATTTGCTTGCTAATTTACCTTATCCAGATTGGAATGGAAAAATTCTAAAACACTTGTTCTCAACATCTTATCATGGACAAGTAACAGGTTGCAAACCAGTGCCAGTCCAAGAGCCATGCTTGAATAGCACTCTTCTAGCCTTTTGATTTCTGTGCCACTTTAAAGAACTCAAAAGACCACTTGTGGGATCTAACCCTACTCATATTTTTTCACCCTCATATACCTTAGTGATCAGTGAGAGAAATTTGCTGTCTGTAAAGATTTTTATTTGGTAATTTTGAAATACCTCTATCCTGATAAATTTTCACTTTTTTCAAACTAAGTGTACCTTGTAATTGAGAAAAAGTTATTGATCAAAATTGGTGATGGTTTTTACTGTCTGTTAATGTAATTATCTGATATTTGATAAAACAATATTATCTGATACAACTTGCTCATTACCATGGATTACCTAGAGTCAGATGTGTTAGTATAGTTAGTTGCCTTTGCTTCAGCAAAATTTTTATCTGGACCCCAGTTTTCTGTGAAATGATCATCATTGGACTTCATCTCTAATAAAACATTTAAGTCACTTTATCACTTATTAAAATGATTGTTTTCTTAGATCAAAAACATTTGGATTGCTTTAAAGTAAATTTTGATGATGTTTAATTAGAGTTTTAAGTTTGCTCAATTTGTTAAATCTTTTTTTTTTTTAGGAATTGCTTCATGTTTGGCTGTTTTCTCAGCACTGATGAAATTGCATTTTCTGACCCAACTCCTGATGGGAAATTATTTGCAACCAAATACTGCAACACCCCTAATTTCCTTGTGTACAATTTTAATACTTAAAGCCAATTTCTACTAGAAAAGTTACTTTGTGGATGAGTACAAATGGTACACTTTCACACAGTAAGAACCATTTAAATAGTGAAATATAAAATACTGAGATAACATCTTTCTGTATTATGCTTAATACCTTATATATTGAGAAGCCAGGGATACATTTGTCAAAAATTATGTGGCAGTTCATAGGAAGGAAAAATTGGGGGATGGTATATAGTGACTAGCAGTCACAGTCCTTCATTATGAAACTTTGTAACTATAAATTTGAAAAATTACTTGCTTGTTGACATACAAGGTGGCTTTTGACAGAGATGTGATCACAAGCAAAAACACAAATCAACCTACACAAGTAATTTTCATGACCAGTTTTTAAAAGTAATTCCTAAATCCTATATAAAGTTCTCACTTTATAGATTCTTGGCTGTGGGAGCTCAATTTGAATGTATTTAGAAAGTGTTTTGAATTTCTAATTTGAATAAGAAAAGACGAGATGAGTAACATACCCATATCCTTTGTGTGGAGTAGAATGCTCTGACAGTCATGTTTGCGCCTCCTTGAAATTGTCCTCTGAAAATGCTAGTGCTACTTATTTTAATGAACTTGTTACTAGTAATTGATGTTAACAAAATGGATGCCCACTGGAGTATAGATGATTTGCTTGGTTTCCTTTTAATTCTTTAAATATACCTTAGCTGTTCTTAGATATCTGGCAAAAGCCTTGACAAAATGTATAATTAATAGAGCCAAGACTATGACTTGGCTCTATTACCCATAGACTATGAT